GAGCAGCTTAGGGAGCTGGGAATGTTTAGCCCTACAAAAAGAAGGTTAAGAGGAGAGATGATAGCCATGTTTAAATATTTGAATAGATGGCATGTTGAGGAAGGGACAGGTTTGTTTCCCGCCCCCCCTCCCCAGGCTCCAGACACTAGGACAAAGAGCAATGGTTTCAAACTACAGGAAAAGAGATTCCACCTGAATCTCAGGAAGAACCTCCTGATAGTCAGAGCTGGTCAGCACTGGAATAGGCTGCCTCAGAGTGTGGTGGAGTCTCCTTCTTTGGAGGTTTTTAAGCAGAGGCTAGATGGCCATCTGTCGGGAGTGCTTTGATGGAGTTCCTGCAAGGCAGGGGTTTGGAGTCGATGGCCCCTGTGGTCTCTTCCAACTCTGTGATTCTATGATTCTATGAAATAAATAAAATTCTTGTGGAAGGGCTAAAACACGGCATCGCTGCATCTTCCTAAGCTTAAAATTGCTACAGTTTCCCAATGTTCTGTACATGCATAAAGCAGTGAGGTCAATTTATCAATTTGGTCTAAAACATCCTCCCTTTTAACCTGTATCTAATTTGATTCTTTAGTCAGGAGGGGCTGTTCGGGTAGTGAAATCTCCCCAAGGTTTTCTGTCATGAAGACAGATGTAAATAACTCATTTCTCTGAAATCTCCATGTCCCCCATTCCCTCACTTACCATCCAGAGGGACAGCTGCTTCTCTGGCAGGTTTCCTGCTTCTAATGTTGTTAAAGAAGGTTTTATTATTCCCCTTTATATCGCTGGCCATGCGTTCCTCAGTCTTTCTTTACCTTCTTTGTCTTCTTGCATTTCTCTTTGCCAGAATTTGTCTTCTTGCATTTCTCTTTGCCAGAATTTTTGTTTTCCTCCTTTGGGGAGGATTTCCATTTATGGAAGGGCCCTTCCTTGTCCTTCAAAGCCTCTCTAACTCCACTTGTTAAACATGCCGGCACCCTCTTGGACTTAGTTGAGCCCTTCTGTCTTTGGGGGACATGGTGGCAGGGGGATGTGATGGCACTGTGGGTTAAACTGCAGAAGCCTCTGTGCTGTGAGGTCAGATGACCAACCAGCAGTCATAAGATTGAATCCATGTGACGGAGTGAGCTCCCGTCGCTTGTCCCAGCTCCTGCCAACCTAGCAGTTTGAAAGCATGTAAAAATTCAAGTAGATAAATAGGAACCATCACGGTAGGACGGTAACAGGGTTCCACATCTAAGTCGCACTGGCCACGTGACCACGGAAACTGTCTTCGGACAAACACTGGCTCTACGGCTTGGAAACGGGGATGAGCACCGCCCCCTAGAAATGGACATGACTGGACTAAATGTCAAGGGGAACCTTTACCTTTTACCTCTGTCTTTGTGGTATACACTTCCGCTGGGCCTCTACTACCATTGTTTTAAACAGGCTCCATGCATTCTAGAGAGATTGGATTCTTTTTACTTTCCCTTTCAACTTCTTTCTAGCTAGTTTCCTCATCTGAGGGAAGTCCGCCCTTCGGAAATCAAGGGTTTTTGTGTCAGATTTGTTTGACACTCTCTCAGGCAGTATCTGGGGCCCTGGCTTCCTCATCCTGCTGCTAAACTCGCCGTGTCTTCTTATCTCTTATCCTGAACTTTGTTGCAGTGCCGCACTTCGTTGCAGTAGGCACTTGCACTTGAGCCTATGAGGGCTTCACATTGTTCATGATACACCCTTATCAGGTGCAACAGACTAATGCAGTCCATTCAGTTGGCATCCAAAGCTTTCCATAATTTGATGTTCACAGAGTTCCTCTTGTTCTGTGCTCTGAATAGGCTTTTGTTTCTTTCATTCAAAATACATTCTGTGCTTCCCTATTTCTTTTGTGGATTATGGAGTAAATAATGCTTTCAGTGAGGAAAAGTCCAAAGGTCGCTAGCACTGTTTGTTTGTATCTTTTACCATAGATGCTCTGTGGATATCTGCACCAGGTCCTTCCACATCTGTCACTTCCACAAACAGGATACATCCCTATTGTAATAAACAGGTTGCTTATGCAGGTGGCAGGGTTACAAATATATTAGAGCTTCTCTCTGTTGTGGCAGGTGGAAGGATTGTTTCTTGTTTGTGTCGAGTTTGACAGAAAAAGTAACATGAGATATTTTTCTCCAATGAAATACACAGAATGAATTATTTATTTTTTTAAAAAATGCAATTGCAATAATCAACAGATTGATGGATGCATTGAAGATCAAATTCTTTTTGGATTCTGCGATGAAGGATAACTCCAGAAGACTAGTGTCCTGTCCTGCTGCCTGAGTTCATGTTGCTTTAACTTTTTGTTTCAAGTGAATGTTCTCCCTAAAGGGAAGCTATAAATTAGTTAAATACCTTGAAAATCCTTGATAGGGTCACTATAAGTTGCTTCTGACTTGAAGGCACATAACAATGATGTATGTATGTTTTGCCATGTACTCTCTGTAGTCTCACTCTTGTCTGAAGAAGAGGATTTGTTCCACAAAAACTCACATTAAAATAGAGCAGTCTTTTGGTGCAACAATGCAAGGTGTCTCTTATCTCCAGCTTTATTTGCTCTGATAACAGAACTATTAGCAAGTCTAATTAGGGAAGATAATGAAATAAAAGGAATAAGGTACAAAGAAAAAATTAAAGTGAATTTATTTGCAGATGACACATTTTTAATAACTGAAGATCCAATAAAATCTAGAGAAAATATCAAAGCACATTTAAAAATATTTGAAGAAGTAACAGGATTCAAGATAAATTGGAGCTAATCGGAATTTATGTTAATAAATTATGATAATGAAGAAAGAATGAGAATGAAATATAGTTATGCCTGGCTCCCTCTCTGCTGTCATTTAGGAGGCAACTCAAAACACTGATTTTCAGGGAGGCCTTTCATTCTGACCCTGGTTGACTGATTGCTTACTTCCCAATCTGCGATTATTGGGAAACTTACTCTGGTATCATTTGGTCTTAAACTGTTATTGTTTTAATGTTACTGTTTATTGTTTGTTTAATATGTTTTAACTTGTTAAACCACACAGAATCATGCTTCTGCACTAATGGGGTGGTTAAATGAATGAATGAATGAATGAATAAATGAATAAATGAATAAATGAATAAATAAATAAATAAATAAATAAATAAATAAATAAATAAATAAATAAATGATTG